GATCGAGATTACAAAGTTAGAGACTCTCTCAATCTCGTCGTACATAAACGCACACAACAAACATCGATAGTAGTGAGGATCGTGATTGTACTGGTAGAACCAATTCTCATTATACGCGTGACGAAGCTTCGGAATGGCACAATAGCCGAGATTACGACGCCTAAGCTGCTGAATTCGAGTCCTTGTTTTCTCCCTTTCGTTCGAAGGCTAACTCTCTAAGAATTGAAAAGAGGTCTCTCGTGTATAATGGGACTTCTCTATCTTTCTCTCTCTCTTTTTCTATCTCTTTCTATCTTTCTCTTTCGCAAAAGAATGCCTCGGGGGCAGGTCAAACTTCGACTTTCGTTATTACCTGCTTCTCTTCCCTCGACGTAAACACGGTGAATCATGTATTAAGAGAAAAAAAAAAGAGAGGGAGATAGAGTTAGAAATAGAAATAGAAATAGAAAGAGAGAGATTACTACGACGACTAAGAGTTGTGTCTGGTTTGTTCGAATCAAAGAGAGTAACGCACTTTCTATTTTTAATTTCGTAACAAGATAATTCATCCAGTTCGACGAATGTCTCTGTTTATTTATTTAACGAACAAAAAAATCATTTATTATATGGATTAAGCGATCCGTTTTTTTTTTGTTTATACATTATACAGTTCGCTAAAATGAAAAAATGGAAGAAAAACAAAAAAATTGATTCTACCAGCGTTCGTACATTAAACAAAAATTTTTTAAATAAAAAATAAAATGAAAAAATAAAAGATATAAAAACAAATTAATTTTATCATCGTTTACATATTATATTACCATATATAGTTCGTTCAACATTTTTTTCTTTCTTTATTATACAGTTCGTTGAAAAAAAAAAAAAAAAAAAAAAATAAAAAAAAAAAAAAAAAAAAAAGAAATTGATTTTATTCTGTTATCCGCTTGGAGATATCGTGCTTTAAGCGACAATATTGGTTGGTCGTAAGGACGTCGACGTGAGTGCGCAAAGCACACATGAACGATGGACGAACATATTCGATGAACTTCCTAACGGAGATAAATGTCCGGTCTCTCCCTCATCTCTCAATCCCTCCCTCTTTCTCCCCTCTCCAGCCCTTATTCCCCTATCCGCGTCCCTTCGCTATTACCATCACCACCATCTTGCAAACTCGAGAACAAGCTCGTTCGGTATTACACGGGTCGGGTGCGTGCTACCAATAGTGCATTATGCATAACGAACATTCCCTTGAATTTCTCATCACGATTCTCGACATTGCCATTAGTTTACTATAGGCGACATACGCGTTAAATCTAATGTGATTTTCGTTACGTCAATCTCTCTCTTTCTCTCTCTCTCTATTTTTTTTTTTTTTTTTTTTTTTTTTTTTGTAAAGCGACCATTAAAAATTTTATTATACAATTCCGACAAAAAGGATGACAAAAATGTGATTTTTTAAATCAAATTTAATTCGCAACAAAAATGTACTTGTTCCATTTTTATTACGCTTTATTTGTTAGAGCTGTCTTTTCTTTTGTCATGCTAGTTATATTAAGATTTATTTATTACGTATTATAATCGGCGTTAGCTTTATTCTATTATGAAAGTTATTGACGATTTAATCTCGTCATACATATACGTATTTTTTTCATCTTCTTTTTCTATTTTTCATTTCTTTCAGCTTTTTTCTCCTTAAATAAATCCAATTATTGAATCCGTAGCGTGCTCTTTTTTTCGAGGAAAGATCTTTAAAAAAAAAAAAAAAAAAAAAAAAAAAAAATTCAATTGTTTGACTGAAAATACATGGAAAGATTTTTTCTTAGATGGAATTCAAGCAGAGATCCGAATAAAGAAAAATTTTATGCTATTGCGTATCAACTAACTTATTATTCCTTGACTCAAAAATATTTAGATCGCGATTTCGATCAATAGAATTTATTTTCAATCGAAGCAGAAAAAATTGATAACCTTAATTAATTTTTTATCAATCTAATAGATGGTATCGTTGAAAAACATTTGTTGAACATGACAACGATGACGATTATTATTCGAGATTTGATCTCGTCATACATAGTCGTATCCTTCTTTTTTTCTCTTTCTTTTAAAATAAAACTACATTTCCCTGTTAACATACTATACGATCCTATCTAACTTGTTAATTATACATATTCACGCATACACGCACACATAAACGTCATCGATTACGAACCAACGCCGTACGACGACATATTTCATTTCTAAAAGATTTTCCTATGTTCTTATTACGTATCTGTCTCTGGTTTTATTACTATCGACGATGATTTCAATCTCTGATGGAAAAAGAAGGAGAAAAAAGAAAAAGAAAAGAAAAAGAAAAATCGGAGGAAGCGAAAAAAAAAAAAAAAGAAAAAGAAAGAGGAAATAAAAAAGATGTTCAGTCTCGATCAGAGACGAAGAAGAAAAGCCGAAGATCCAGTGGTCGTGATAATTCACCGTTATAATTGGTCGACGAGGCCTCTCGCGAAGTAGGAGTGTTACGTTTCAAGATTAATTTACCTCGTGAAGATAAGATCGGTTAGGGGCTAGGTCTTACTCCAATTACTGAATCCGTAGCGTGCTCTGTAATTTAGCGCAATCTCTTCTCTCTCTCTCTCTCTCTATCTCTCTTGTTCTCTCTTAGACGTATCCTCTCATTTCTGCTATAAACGATGTCACGAAGAGAGGGTTACGTTAGATAGAAAGAGAAGGAAGGGAGGGGTTATGGTTGGCCCTCTTAGCAACTTCCGCGAGTCACTGCGGCTTTTCTAATATTAATATTAGCCGTCGTGACTTAGGAATTAATGAGATTCACCGATGGATTTGGGAGGTATCGTGTATGCCTCTCTCTCTCTCTCTCTCTCTCTTTCTCTGCGTATATATATACACACACACACACACACATATAAAAGAGTAAGATAGAAGATCGAAGACGATGATATTTGGTATTCCATGTGCGACACCTTCTCGCTCAGGCATTTCACAGGAACGTGCGAGGCATCGTGCTAGGGACTCTGCGTACTCCACACACTGGCGACACCCTTCCGCACCCTCCGGTTCTCCTCCTCTAAGAATCCCTCCCCCGCCCTGCCCCGTCTCTTACTCCTTCTACTCTTACTCCTTTCTTTGTATACGTGAGAGAAAGAGACTTGTGCGAAGAAATTCTGGATTCCAAGGGCGTGCTTCCACTCCTCTATAAGCGCTCCAGGTGACGAAGCGTGACTCGACGTCGAAGAGGATCTTCTTCTCTCGTAAATGTCCGGCTGACGACAACAATAACAACAACGACTACGACTACGACGACTATGACGATTTTAAAAACCCATCATATTTCCAATTTTCATTCATTTTTCTACGCTTTTAAATACTTTAATCTTTCGATAGAACTATAAAGCAAATCGAGCAACGAAAATATCGATCCTTCATCGTGATTACTTCATTGAATCATTTGATAAGCTGTTTCTAATATCTTCGATCGAACTGTAAATACCATTTGGTGACACATATGTAAGTTTAGACTACGTCGATTGGTTATTCATAATTGTGTACTATATCACAGTAATCTCGTAGTGCCAAAGACTAATCTCATCTCTCTCTCTCTCTCTCCATCTATCTATCTATTCTGTTATAACTTCTTATCTTATAATCCCCGCTCTAATTTAAAAAAAAAAACAAAAAAAAGGATTCGATGTTAATCACGAGTCAACGGATGCAAAAGAAATTTTAGAAAAATTTGTCAGAGGTAAAAGCGTTTCCTGGCTAACGTTGGTTCACTCGCTTAACTCTGCTCGTTCACATTCGTTTCGTTTCGTTTCGTTTCGTTCGTGTTTACGAAGCCGGAATACCTACGCGACTTCTCGTTGCGAAGACTTCTTCGCGCGAGACAAAGACAAAGAGAGATGAAAGTCCACGAGAGAGAGAGAGAGAGAGAGAGAGAGAAATGGAGGCGGTTCTCCACATGCGAGTCGAATAACTGGTTGTTCCAGTTTCTGTCGTTGCGTTTAACACCAGACGCCTCTCCTTTACGTGCACACAAGTATCTCTCTCTTTTCAGCATGAATATATATATACGTATATATGTATATATTTTCTCTCTTTGTCTCTCTCTTACCAACTCTCTTCTATCTTGCATCCTATAAAGCGATTAAAAGCTGCATAACTATCTCCGCAGCAGGTAAAACTGCACACCTTTGAACAACGTTAGGCACGTTTCCTCGTTCCACTATAATTTAATTCTAGTTTATTTCTAGTTGGCATTCACACTTTTCCGAATTGAAATTATTCCTAATAGGAAATTTTTTTGATCGTTTATTTTGTCAAAGTTTACGTCGGTTGATACTCGATCGGATCAATAATTATTAATACATAAGTGTAGATTTGTATTGCTAATTACTTTCAATATAATTGTAACTAAATTGCTATAAAAAAATTTTTATTAGAAAGTTACTTTAAAATGAAGTTTTCATTTCAATTTTATAACAATATTTTTTAACGATTTTAATCGTTTTACATCTTTTTAATATTACATTAATATTTCATTATTGATTAAGCAACAAAAAGTTAGGTCCGATTTAAATATTGCGAACTATTATCGCGATACAAAAGAATTATAAATAAATAAATGGTGCAATCTCGTTTGAGGAAATCGCGTGTGTGTAACGAAGAAATTATTACGACAATTTTAGCGAAACTGCGATTATTGTTCTTATTCAGTGTAGTCGTTCTGAAAGGAAATTGAAATATTCGTTGTATCCGGTGTCTTTTAGTTTAGCGTTTTTGTCGTCACCATCTCGTCATACTACGTCATCTTCTTCATCTTCATCTTCATTCTCTTCCATTTAATTTTTGCGCTACATCGACGAATAAAGGGATTAAACGTATAAAATATCACTGGAAACATTTGAGAATTTATTAACGTTTTCGATCGTATTAATATACGAAAGGATACGAAAAATCTTAATCTTTTTATTTTTCTTATTTTTTCTCATCTTTTTGTTTCCCTTCAGAAAGAAAAATAGAAGAACAAACTTCTTATGGATTTTCACCCAATTCAACTTGTTTCATCTCGTTGTGACGTCTCCTAAGCTGGCACTATTAATGGATCGGATCGTCGAGTGTTTAAAGGCGACCTCGAGGTATTAAAGGGCGATAAGCCGCCATATTTACTTTACCAACGAGTCGAACCGAATGAAGCCGAGTTAACCCGACACACGTGAGAATGCTAACCGAACCGTACAGTTGTCAAAATGTAACTTCATTTGTACGAGGTAATACCACTTTATTTCACTTTCTTCTTTTCCTTTTTTTTTGCGTTCTCATTTTCCTTTTCTCTCTCTCCCTCTCTCTGCGTTGAATCGAACGACGAACGAAGTACGAAACACCTGTCGACTTTGCGAAAAAGTCATTTTACACAGTGACAGATAATGTACACACGTGTAAAATATGCAGGTAGACAACTAAATGATGTTTTCTCCATGATTTTATCCTATATTCCCTCTTGTTGACCTTGTTAACAAAATTAATGCGGTACGGCGAAATTATACTTCACCGATAAGGACGGATTTATTTTTACTCGTTTCACTCGTCCCCCAGCTTTTGCAACGATAATACGATATAAAAGACTTCGAGCATGGGTTATCGATAAAAAATTGAAAGAGTTTTAATATGCGAGGATAGGAGTTTAAAGAACGTATCGTTGATATTACACAAACTCGTTCGTTCGTTCTGCTTTTCTTCTCTCTCTCTCTCTCTCTCTCTCTCTCTCTCTCTCTCTCTCTCTCTCTCTCTCTCTCTCTCTCTCTCTCTATCTTTATCTATCTCATTCTATTTCTCCTTTTATCCAGCTCGAGGAATAGTTTGCGGTGAAACTACGGGTGCGAGGAATTTTTATGACGAAAGTAAAGCGAAACGGTCCATAAAACCGGCCAACCACGATTCCATCTCTCTCTTCAGACTTGCTCGAAAATCGCATAAAGTTCGCAACAAACTTCCTCATCCCAATGGCGTAGAGAATCCGCACATATACAAAAACACATATACACACACACATCTTCTTTCCAACCCTTGGGCTCCCTTTTCCTGTTTCCTGTCTCTTTCTCTCTCTCTCTCTCTCTCTCTTTCTCTCCTTCTCTCTCTTTTCTACATTTCTCCCTACTTTAAACTCTTCGTGAAAGAGAGAGAGAAAGAGAGGCAAAGCTAACAAACGATCGTATCTGGAGATCGGAGCTAGACGCTTTACAGCTGCGGATAGTAGCGCTCGATAAATTTTAAAGCGGAGCTGCTATATTTCTCTCTCTCTCTCTCTCTCTCTTTTATTCTATGTCTATCTTTTGTCTCTTATTCTTAGAGATAGTAGTATTTGTTATTTCCTCGATCGCACGCAAAACCGAATATATTGGAAACATTACAATCGATTGGACAAACCGTAATGATAATTTTTAAAGACAATCATTGTCATGACACTTTCATAGATTTTTGTATTGTATAAAAGGATTGTCGATTAAAAAAACAATATATATAATCGAAAATACGAATATCTTAATTTACTTAAAAAAAATACTTAGAATTAATTATTAATAAAAAGAAAAAAAAAATATATATATATATATGATACAGATTATAATATTATATCTGAGGTATGCTAAGATTGGAATTTATTATCTGTTAGAGTTATCGCGTAAAATGTATTAGGTATTATTATTAGACGTTACGACAGAAAGTTTTTAAGGTCGCCAACCAGTTGCTTTGCTCTGTTCTGTTCTGCTCTGATCTCGCTGACGATTTTCTCGCTGAGTTATAACGAGGGACGGAGAAAGATAGATAGAAAGAGTAAGAGAGTTAGAGAGAGAAAAAGAAAGAGAACTGTATACCGACTATAAATATAATTCATCGAACACACAGACAGAGAAAAAGAGAGAGAGAGAGAGAGAGAGCAGAGTCCCCGAAAGACAGTTTCTGCGTTTTCGCGTGCGTGACGCGCACCTGGCGCGTCATTTCAGAAAGAGAACTATCCTAATACTGGTCTGGCTCGTTCTTTGAATCTTGTTCTTCAAAGCAATGTGGAATACCGCGTGCCTTATGCATTCCTAGCAATGGCGTAACTTACTAAAATCATTCATCGAAATTTTCAATTAAATAATCTTTATCAAAATTATTATTAATATTATTACGTTAAATTATCACCACCTTCATATATATATATATATATATATATTCATTTTATAATTATTATAATAATAGGTATTATTATCATTAATATGATCATCATTATAATAATAATAATTATTATTATTATTGTTATTATTATTATTATTATTATTATTATTATTATTGTCTTTTGATCTTGCTTGTGGTGTTAGTGTGTGTGTAACCATGCGATGAGGTCATCCTATCAGGCCACACATCATTTGATTTATTATTATTATTGCTATTATTATTAGCATTCTGCTAATTACTGCAGCTATTTCAAATATTGTATTTTGAAAGAGCATATGTATGCATATTCAGGGTAATCCAACATTTCGAGATCTCTTTTGAAGCTTTCTATTGTCAAGACTTTATCAGATAAATTGTTAAATATCGTATATCGCAAAACGAGCATTTTTAAAGCCCGCTTTTTCCTTTTTATCTTTTCTTTTTTTCGTCAAATTTTCCATTTACGATCGTTTCCCATTTCGTTCGTGAAAAATCGAAAAAGTACAAAACTATAATAAAATGAATCGACATCAGCGTTCGTTATATATATATATATATATTTAGTATTATCGAATAAAATTTTTAGTATAATCAAAAAAAGAAAAAAAAAAGAAGGAAAAAGAAAAGGACAAATAAATCACCATAATAGAAATCGTAGAAAATCCAATCACGATTTTAAATCAATCACTGACAAAATTATCTGTATTAAACAGAAAAAAAAAGCGGAACGATTTTGCTGGCACGATCGCAAAAAACACATATAATTAATTAGTTTCCTTCCTTTGAATATATTTCTTTGATTATACCGAGTGATTATTAACATAGAGAGAAGAAAAGAGAGTCATATGGTACTTTGAATGCATTCGCGAACGTTGGACGAGGTAAAGAAGAAGAAAGAGACCGAATGGAAGAAGAAAAGAGAAGAGAAGAGAAGAGTGGAGAGTAAAGAGAAGCAAGTACGGTCCTCGGTAGTAATTATTAACCCGCAGTGACTCACTAGGTTGAGGACCTTTATGATCCACGCTAATGGGTTCGCCGCTTCACTACCACCATCGACACTACACTACTACTGTATATATACATACATATATATATATATATATATGATAGTAGTAGATAAATATATATATATATATATATATATATATTTATGTATATGTATGCATATCTGTATGTGTATATGCTACTATCGTTCGTGCTTCTCACGTGAATACACTCGTAGACTTTCCCGCATAGTATAGTAGACATTCACGAACATTCGACGGGAATTCTCTTTACAAGAAGCTTATGCAGAAGGGCTTTATGGCCCTTGGCCACGCAAATCTCGTTGCCGCGTTCTTCCACGCATGAAAAAGCTTCAAACCTATCCTTGTCCTCTCTCTCCCTTACCCACCTATCTCTCTCTTCTTCGCATTCGTGTTCTTCTACTTCTGCTTTCGCTTCTTCTTCTTTTACTTCTACTATTTCTTCTTCATCTTCTTCTTCTTCTTCTTCTTCTTCTTCTTCTTCTTCTTTATTCTACTCTACACGAGCAACAGCAGCAGAAGTAGAAGCACGAAAAGGGTCGAGTCAAAACGAGGCTTTTAATGGTCTCCCGTATTACACAGAACAGCTTCGTTTTGATTCATTTTAAAGGGTTTGTTCAAAAGTACCAAAAGTCATTTATTTTTTTCGAGGGAATCGTTTGATCAAAAAGAAAAGCAAAAAAAAAAAAAGAAAAAAAAATAGAATAAAAAGGAATAAAAAAGAAAAAGAAAAAGAAGAAGAAATAAAAAGCTCTTTTTCGTACTTTTCATTAATCGTAATGTATTCACTACGAGTGCCGTGTTGTTCTTATTTTTAAACTTTTTAAACTTTTTAAATTTTTAAACCTTTTCAGCTTTTTAAACTTTTTAAATTTTTTAGCTCCTTCAAATTTCGTTAATTTTATTCTCTCACAACAGAGAGAGAGAGAGAGAGAGAGAGAGAGAGAGAGAGAGAAATTATGGATGAGACGATGTCAAGGATGATTCGTGATGTTCACGAGTAATTGGGGATTTATCGTAGTATTGAATAATTTATAAGAGACCCGTATGCCGATTAAATTTCAAATTCAAAGTTCCTTTCGTTGACAAAATCGTTCGAAAAGTCCGTAAAAGCATTTTTAACGAACGTTATCAAAGCTGTTGTACCATCAACTTTTTTTTTCGGATGCTATCGTATTTCAGCGTAACCTCGAATGTGATAGTCCCAAAGGTTATTTAAATGAAACAGAGATGAAATTTAATTTAATATTCTCGATGTGTTAAACGATGATACTAATAACGATTGTGGAATAGTATAATTTTTGGTATTACTATTGCTTTTTCCTCTTTAATTGTATTGTATTTTAAGCGATTGAAAAATGATATTTGGATAAAGAGTATGGTATAAAGATCATTTTCACAGATTTATATTTGAAAAAATATTTTGATTTTTCTTTTAAAAAGGCGAAAGAGCGATTTCAGCCGGGCATAACGAAAAGAAATACGTCGATCGTTAATAACTCGAGACATTATTTGAGTAATTAAAGTAGTAAGTTAAGTTATTAAAATATTATCGTAAATGAGTATTAAAAAAAACAAAAAAATTTGGATAATTCTGACGTATATGGGTGTCCAGTGATAAACAAAAAATATTTAGATCTAATGTAATATGATATATAAAAAAAATGTTCTTCTCTATTACAGTTAGAAAGCCTTTGTCTTTCAGTTCGGTGCGTCCAATGATACGTGACTATGATTAGATCGAACTTGGATCACGGTACTTTTACCTCCTTTTCCTGGCCCTTTCCTCCCCTCGCCATCATCTCTTTCCCGGTAGACTTTACCGTTAACTCGGCCCACGCATTCGCGTCTTTGAAAAGCGCGAATACATACGTACGTACATATGTATAAGCAAAATTCAAGATGGCTACTTCGACCAGAGTAAACGAGATTTAGTACTACGGGAATGATGATAACAAACAAGAGTGAATCGTTGGAATTACTATCTTTCTATATCGGTCAATATAAACAAGAAGGTTATCATCGAGAAAGAATTTGAAAAAAGAAAAAAAACTAATTGATAAAAGCATGTATACGAAAAAGAAAAAAAAAAAAAGAAAGAAAAAAAAAATAGAAATTACGTAGCGTGAAACTTTGAATTTTTTATTACAAGTATAAAGTATAGCAATTATAGTTCGGGATTATATTAAACGTGATATATATAAAAAAAAAAAAAAACGAACAAAAGAAAAAGAATCAAAGATTCAGAAAATAAAAACATAAAATTACTTTCAAGTATTAACTCGAAACTAGCATAACATTCATTATTAGAGGGTTAATCGAAGAAACGATTCAGTTAATCTATTAATTGACTCGTAAATATCTTCGTACTAATAGTTTTGTTCGTTCAATTAAATACGATCGATCAGTCTAGCTAGTTAATCTCTCGCTCCCCCCCACCCACAAGTTGGAAGTAAGTATTTTTTGTTTATGATTGCAATGATAGAAAAGAAAACTATGAAGCTATCGATCGTCGAATAAATACTAGTTCAATATTTGATTTGAAAGTAAGACGAGGTCAAGATTTTCGATCGATCAACTAACATCACAACAACGATAACGACAGCAGATAATATGGATCGATTTTTTTCCTTTCTATTATTTTCCTTTTATTTATTTATTTACTTTTGTTCTTTTTCTTTACGTATCGACTTTCTTCCTTTTTATTTTTATTTCGTTTCTTTTCTCGTTCTTTTCCTCTTCTTCTTTCCTTTCTTATCTTCTTCTTCTTCTTCTTCTTCTTCTTCTTCTTTTATTACTTTAATTTTCGTTGTTCAATAAACGCGTCCGAATGATTTATCGATGATCGTCGATCGTGATTAAAGTTACGGAACTTCGAATACCAAGAGAATGACTATAGTACGAGAGTGCGAGAGGAATTGATCGTACAGAGAGGAATTGATGGTACAGATCGTACCATTGACAGATTTTCCACGCATGTGCGGACACGGATGCAAGTTCTTCTGACGAAGAACCCATCCGCAAACCCGCCGTCGTCGTCCTGTTGGTTGTGTGATGGACGTGCCTACTACACGTGACCGGAATAATGAACGCTGATCATTGCCTCGACTATCTGCTTCGCCCACTCGCTCATCGAGAGCGACACTCTTCTACCAACCACCAACCTCAACCCCATCCCATCCCCCATCATGGCATGTGTCTATCCATCTCTCTCTCTCTCTCTCTCTCTCTCTGTCTCTTCGTCCGTCACGATAAAGCGATGACCTCGGAGAATAAAACATGTCGGGTCGTTCAATCGGTATTCGAAATCGAGCCATTAAATTTCACCCCTGCTACTACTACTATCCCTTCCATCAACTCCTTTCCCCCAAATGTATCCAAACACTCTCGAATGTTATTATGAGACTCGGACTCTCTGTTATCGAGAGTAAAAAAAAAAAAAAAAAAAAAAAAAGAAATAATAATAATAATAAAATTAAAAAAATAAAAGACTAAACACAAACGATATTAGATAAATAATAAAAAAAGAAATAAATAAAAATAGAAAGATAAAAAATAACAGAAAAATAATACAAATATAAAGCGATAGAAAAAGAAAACAAAATATAAGAAACAAGAGGGAGAGAGGTCATTTGACACCGTAAAAAAACAAAGAAGAAAAGAAAAAAAAAGCATTCTTTTGTCCACAAATCGATGTAACAGAGGTACCAAATATATATATATATATCATCGATGTTAATCGACCGACCCACTGATTCAGATACACTAGTTTTTACTTTCGACGTTGGCGCATGAACGCTCTTTGAAACCGCAGGAAGCTCGTCTCTTGTTTTTTGTCCTCTAGCGGGGCATACAAGAGGAAAAAAAAAGGGAAAAAATGGTGAAAAAAAGAAGATAAAAAAAAAAAAGGGTAATAACACTACTCGACAGGTCTCGTTACGTTATCGACATTTTACAAGAGAGGGAGAGAGCCAGAGAAAAAGATTAAGAGAGACAGACAATGTAGAAACAAACAACAAGCTCGTAAGTACTTATTCTCGTCGATATTCGTCCGGAACCGACGATTGACCGCAAGAAAGAAAGTCTCATCTGCTATTTGTTCCGTAACGAGAAACGACAACGAGGCTATCTCTTCTCTCTCTCTCTCTCTTTGTTTATATATATATATATATATATATGAAGAGCAAAAAAGGCGACACTCTACTACTCAAAACTCGCGTTCACGAGAGAATACAGTCAATCATCGAACGGTTTGCAAGATAAATCGAGCGAAACCGTAACGCTTTGGACCCCGAAGAACAACGAAGAGAAATTATATTCGCGACACGAGTCGGTTGGGCCTTATTTTTTTCTTTTCTTTTCTTTTCTTTTTCATCTTGACTTTTTTCCTTTCTTTATGTTTTTTCTTTTTTTTTTTTTAAATCGTCTATCGTCATCGTTCTTTACCAAGGATCTCACAATCAGCAATTTTCTAGTAGAGTTTCTCAACCTCTGCCGTGAATCAATCGAGGCGGTGAATATTGAGGTTGGTGTTAAATTTTTTTAATTTAATTTTTTCACAAGATTATAACACTTCGTTATTTTATTTTTCATTTCTTTTTTTGTTTTATTACACCTTATACCTCGAACAGAAGCGATCGTTATAATCGTTTCGAAAATAAATTCGATCTATATATTGTTTGTATAATTTCAAACATTCTCCATCGGACTCCAAGAGTTAATAGTAAAGTACCCCATTTTATCTTCTTCTTTTTTTTTGGTTTTTTATATTTTTTTCTTTTTCCCGACAGAAAGAGACACAAGAAATTTACGCGAGAATACGTGGTACGATCTTCATGTCCAAGATTTACCAATGAAAAGTTAAGAAAAAGAAAAAAAAAGAGAGCGACGAAGACAGAGAGACAGAAAGAGAGAGAGAGAGAGAGAGAGAGAGAGAGAGAGAAAAGAAGGCAAGTATAGCAGTTCTGGATTCGACCTTGTGCTCGAATGCTAGTTTCCGTAGCCACAGTCAATGATTATCTCCATCTTTTTCTCTAACCTCTTTGCTAGCATCGAAGAGAGGTCGGACTTGCATAAGCGTTAAATCGCATGGTCGTTAGATAGCGAGGCCCCTTGAGTCCTCTCGTGGTAACGCAATTGGACGTATTTGGAGCAGAATAACAGTGGGGCCGCCGTTGCTGCTGTTGCTGTTACTGCTATTACATCGCGATCGCCTTTTTTCCCCAGGAAAAATGAATAAAATTGGTGAAACACGTCGGACTATTTCCAAATAAAATATAGCGAAAAATTTCGAATCAATATAATCGTTTGCGTTTATTAAATTATTCATCATTTTATTTGATAAATTTAATTCTTTAATTTTTTGAATTATTAATTTATCAGTGCTTTTCCTATACGTTTATTCTATAATATTTTCAAAGAGGATACGATGGAAGTATAATACTTACTTATACGAAATTGTTTCGATATATATATACATATATTTTTGTTTTTTCTTAAACGGAAGGAGAAGAAGAAGAAGTAAAAAGAAAGAAAGTAAGAAAGAAGAAAAAAAAACGAACGAAGCAACAACTACGGAGAAACTCGAAAATGATTTTCCGCAAAATTCGCACGAGAGTGAATTTATTTTCTTGCACGACGATGCAGCCATCCGTAGGCCCTCCCCGTCTACCCACCCCTCTTCGCCACGTTGTGCTAGCTGCCTTCCATCGCATTACTTTCGGGAGAATAAATAAACCACTCAAAGAAAGAGATCTGGCATGGTGGCGTTTCGCGCCTGTATTTCACTCAGTGAGCGTTGTAAAGCGCAAACAAACGCGAGCTAGGCGCGCACCGATACGCGCGAGCTGTTCAATTTCATCGTTCTGGTTGTAGCCACCATCACCAACACTACCACCATCACAGTCTCTCTCTCTCTCTCTCTCTCTCTCTCTCTCTCTCTTTCTATCTATCTATCTCTTCGTACGTATAATCTTTCCTCCATGAAATACGAAAGGTGCGATCGAAAAGATTTCGTTGTATATGTTTTCTTCAATGGATACCCATGAAACATGGCCAACCGAAACGTGAATCTTTCGAACTTTCGATAATATTAAACGCAGAGGTATTGAAAACGTTAACCGAACGATTTGCTTTCATTTCGGTGATCATAAAAAAAACTAATCAATTAACTAACTAATAAACTAACTAACTAAGAGATGTTATTACAGAGTTGTCCTTGTACGTTGAAAGAATCTTTTTCAATTCGACAGAAAGGTACGTAGATAGGTAGGTAGGTAGGTAGGTAGGTAGGTAGTCATCATCGTCGACTAAGAAACTTGTCGGAGTTAATCGTTCCTTCGAAACCCGTTTATTATCCCCACCGTAAGACTTTTGTAACGATTCAGATTCGGTATAAGCTCTTCTTTAGAACATTCAAAACGAGATTTCGGTATCTCCAAAAGATACCGAAAGATCTTGCGCTTATTACGTTTTCTATGACGAAAATACGAATATTATTCATAAAGTTGATTATTATTCATAATCCGATAATTATTGTTAATATTCCTATGCCGTAGAAAAATCGATTATGCTACGTAAAGTTACGAAAGAAAAAATTAAAACCATATTCCAGGTTATGAATGTAAATGTAATCAGAAAAAAAAGAGAAAGGAAAAAAAAAACAGAAGAAAAAGAGACACTCACCGAAGCATCCTCTCATGACGATCCCTCTCGAGAAGTTCCTCAGGAGTTGGTTGAGCAGGTCCAAGAAGAGCATGGGACAATGGTGGATATCTTGGTGGCCTCCAGAGCATTTCCGTAGCGACGGCAGGATGATGGTGTCCAGGTGGCGTCGGATTTTGATAAGCGACAGGTGGCGCCGTTGCAGCAGCAGCAGCAGCCGCAGCCGCTGCCGCGGCTGCTGAACCGCTGGTACCGGCATTTGGGGGAGCCTGAGGATGGGCCATCAGTAGAGAGGTGTGTTGTACGCTCTGAACGTGCCAGACTCTAGCCGGTGTAGCCGCCGCGTTAGGCGTCGAAGAGCTCGTTGTCTCTTCGACGCTAAGCGCTGAACTCCTGCTCCCGCTCCTCTCGTCACCCGAGCCAGCGCTCCTCAGGGAACTTACCCCGCTGTCGGAGCCGCTGTCCCCATATGCTGCACCGGCAGCACCACTTGCCCCCGCACCACCACCACCACCACCACCACCAACAGCAGCAACACCACCACTACCACCGACGACACCGACTGCACCCCTAACGCCGATCGCACCACCGAGGACGCCAGTTCCATGTATACCGGCCCCGGTCTCCACCTCCATGAGGCCGGACTCATCGCCGCCTCTATTTCCGTGAGACTGTTGTTGCACCTCGAGTAAGCTCACCGAGCTCAAATGATGATGATGCTGGTGAAGTTGTTGCGGGCTGCTAGCTAACTGTTGCCGATGTTGGCTCGCAGCTGATTGCTGTTGTTGTTGTTGCTGTTGTTGTTGTTGTTGTTGTTGTTGTTGATGTTGGTGATGGAGATGATGATGGATTACCGGACTATCAGCCGAGTATCGTTGCTGATGATGATACGTCGGATGATGGTGATAAGATTGTTGTTGCTGCTGGTGAGTTACTTGTTGTTGCTGTTGTCCCTGCTGGTGTTGAAGGTGTTGCTGTTGTGGCTGCTGTTGTTGTTGCTGTTGATGCTGTTGCTGCTGATGGTGGTGATGGAGGTGGTGCTGCTGTTGCTGATGTTGAGCTTGCTGTTGTTGTTGTTGTTGTTGTTGTTGTTGCTGCTGCTGCTGTTGGTGATGATGCTGTTGCTGTTGTTGCGTTTGCGGTTGTTGTTGTTGTTGTTGTTGTTGTTGTTGTTGTTGCTGCTGGTGGTGGTGATGGTGATGATGATGGCCGGCGACCGACGGTGGAGGCTTGTTTAGTTTTTCGGCTAGAATGACAGGGCTCTCGTTGTGCCGACTACGTTCTTGCTCCCGTTGCTGGTCTAGGAGCAAATTGTTCTGCCTCCCAGCGCCGCCGCCACCGCTGCTAAGTGGACTCAGCCTCTCCAGCACGGAGCCTGAGTCCTGACTACTCGACTCCAGCAGCTCGACGACCGACCCGACGCTCGCACTACCCACGCTATCTTCCGTGCCTAGCTCGGCGTTGTTCGGCACGGTTCTTCGAGGGGATCGGTGCGCGCCACGATCCTCACCCTTGCCCTCCTCCTCCTCCTCCTCTTTCCTCTCGTTTTTGCGATCGTTTTTCCGTCTTTCCTCGCCGTCCTTCCTATCGGATTCCTCCTTGGCCTCCGCCTCCTCCTCCCCCTCCTCCTCCCCGTCTTCCTCCTCCCCCACCCCCTTCTCGAAACTCGCCACAGCCTTCGATCGTCGTGGAGACGTCGACCTGGACGATCTGGGCGACAACTTTAACGACCCACTCTCGACGACATCGACGATCTCCTCCTTCTTCTTCCTCTCGAGTTCCGAATCAACGAGAGAGCCATTCACGAGAACCGACTCAGCCGGAAACTTCTTCTCCCGATCTAACGTGTCGGGATTTTGCGGAGGCTTACCTCCAGGATCGAGTCTCTCAGGAGGTGGGGGCTCCGGTTCCTGATCTCGTTCTCTCGATTGACTCTCCTCGTCCTCTTCAGACTTGTCCAGCCGCCTTTTCGCACCGTCCCGATCCCCTCTTTTACCTTCCTCCTTAGTAGTATCCTCTAGGTCCAACTCACGATCCAACAAAGATTCCTCCAAGTTCTTCGACTTACGATCGGATCTTAGCTTTCGACCGACCGGACTTGTTTTGAGTCTCTTTGAAAGAGGATCGTTATGTTCACGTTTCTCCCGAGCTTCCTTTCCTTCCTCTTCCGTATGATGTTCAGTTACCTTCTCTTCCTCCTCTTCCTTCACCTGCTGCTGCTGCTGCTGATGCTGCTGCTGATGCTGTTGCTGATGCTGCCGCTGCTCCTGGTGTTCCGCAGCTTCCTCGTCTTCCTCCTCTTCGTCCTCCTCGTCCTCTTCCTCTTCCGATTTACTTCCACCACCACTTCCTCCTAAACGTTCCTCCTCCTCCTCCTCCTCCTCCTCCTCTTCTTCCTCCTCTTCCTCCTCTTCTTTACTACTTTCGGTAGATCTTAGAACGGTCCGCCGGCGATCGAGCTCCTCGGAATCCTTTTTAGTTTTCTGTACGCAAGGTCTTAATTTCCTTCGGACGGTTCTCTTCGTCACGCTCTCCAACAAATTACGTAGTGTAACGGCACGTTTACGTAATTTCGTGGCGGTAGCGCCACCACTGTTAGACTCCTCTAACGTTGAACGTGATATTCGATTACCACCGAATCTACCGGTCGACGGGCCCTTGTTCTCCCGATCCTCTTGTTGTCTGGTAGACGATAAAACCGGTTCGCTGTCCTTATCTGTTTTCTCGCGGCCTGCACCTTCGCTGATTCGTCTTCTACGATTATTGTTACGCGACGTACTTTTATCTGAAACAAAGAGAAATCGAAAAGGGTAAACGATTAGGACTTAACTTAGAGAGCCAGTGAATGTTTTCACTTTTTTTCAATTTCTTTTTCTTTTTTTATAGACACTCGCTGTATTAAAAATATGAACGAAATCGTATAGATCGTATCTGGAAATTTCAATTTCATTACTTCGTAATACGATTAAAACTTTTCCTCGGCAAACGTAACGATAAGCATTAATTAACCGCTTCATCGGCATTACAAGAAGCGTCATCATAAGAAATATACTATATTACCGGTTGGGTATATTTTTAGAGATCATGCAACGAAAACAAATGTTTAACGAGACGCCGATGACGAAACGATACACGTAATCTAACATAATTTTTTCCTTCTTATGAAATACCAGACTGTCTATCTATCTATCTGTCTCTCTCTCTTTTTCTCTCTTTCTCTTTAAGGCACGCGAACAACGTGCCTCGTCATTTAACGTTGCGATCTCAGTGACCTCGATCGGAAGTAACGTTGCTAGCATGATTCAGGATTTAGTAGTAAGGATCAATGCACATATCAAGGGGAGAGATCAACACTGGTATATGCATCAGAGTTTCCGGTCCTCGTTGCATTTAGCATCGAAGGGCGATAGAGATAGACAGAGAGATAGAGATATAGACAGATAGATAGATAGATAGAGAGAGAGGGAAAGAGAGAGAGAGAAAGAGAGTTCAAGGGGTCTACGACTAACCCAGTAGATACATGACTGTAGCATGGGAACGATTTACAACCATACACGCCATACACGCATTCTGGACAGTCGTGGAAAGGCACAGAGAGAGAGAGAGAGAGAGAGAGAGAGAGAGAGAGGGAGAGAGAGAAGTAAGCGAGGGCGGGGCAAGCAGGTAGAGAGACGAAGAGAGAAGGAAATAGGGAGACAGAGGAGAGGGATTTATTGCTCAGGATTTACTGTTATTACCCGGAGGGGGAGAAGCACTTCAACGGGCAACGCCGTTGAATACGTGGGGTGCGTTTATCCGATGAGGATACACGAGGAGCATTTGCGCCTGCGTTTGTGTCTATGTATACGTATATTTGTATGTGTACTTGTGCGTATGCGTATACATGTAGCGGAATGCATTTGTGCAGGCTTTCGACGTACGACGTACAACGACTACGACGACGAGGAGGACGACGAGGACGATGAACGTCCACATGCGACTGCGCTTACAACATTGGTGCTATCCGCAACGACCATCCAACAGTTTCCTAGGATATGTGTGCTTTGTCGTCCTGTTCTGATCTCTCTTTCTCTCTCTCTCTCTCTCCGTCCCGTCCTCGTTCGCTCGTTCACTCTAACACATACATATATGGAGAAACAAACACAGGAACATTTCTACTATCTTCTTCTCTCCTCGACCCGTTTCGCATGCGTAACATCCTATCTAATTGAACGGCGCCATTGCAGTTCATTCCGCATTCTTACACGAATGCCTCGGCTATCGTTTGTACCTTCCATTTGACCTGATCGAATGTGAAATGTTGTTTCGTCAAAATAGACTATGATGATAGTTTTTTTATTTTCTCTTTGTCCTCTTTCTTTCCCTTTTTTTTTTTCTTTTTTGTGTTCGCCGATAATAGATCAGAAAAAGAATTGTTCACGGTTGACCATTTTATTTCTATTTAACTATATAGGTATATATGTGTGTGTCTGTGTGTGTGTGTGTGTGTAGCTGCATTTCGAATTTTTATCCAATTAAATTTCTATATACTGTCAATTGCTATTATAGAAATACAGTATAATTGAATAACTTGGTGATCTTTTAGGTGAAAATCGATAATTAAGAGTCGTAACTCTCTGTAATCTAACTTTTGCTGTCTGGCTATATACCTTTCCAAAAAATATTATATAATATGCATTATAATATATATAACTTTCTGTATAAAGATACTTGTATGTATATAGATCATTTATATATATATATATACATGTGAAATTTTATTTTCTAGCTAACGCTACTATATAAATGAACAATCAGAGAATCGCAATCCAATTAAACGTTTGATTAAAACCAGGAACATACTAGGAAACCAAAGTTACCTGGTTGATAAAGTTTTCGTAACGCCTATATATTCGGCAACGCAACGCGTCCATCACCACCACTACCAGCAAGTCATGGTGGTTTATACGAGCGGAAATGGTTTATGCGACGGGACCATGGTGCTTTGGCAATTAGGGTAATTAATTAAGTGCATTCGGTGGGAAGAAGATGAGCGAACGCGTTCGTGTTCGCGATCACCCTCGTTCGCTCGCTCGCTCGCTCTTGCGCGCATGAGCACGAGCAAGTTCAACATCGTGTCGTTTATCGAATCTATTGCCGCTGAGATGGTTTGAGAATCACGTATAAACGCGCAGCGAGGCAAACTCGATCAAACTATCGATCGTAGTTTCCGAAATGTTTCCCGTTTACCTTACGAGTTCCCTTTAAATCGGTCACCCTCTAACCCTTCCAATCTCTATTATCATCCCTCTCTCTCTCTCTCTCTCTCTGTTTCTCTTTCACACTCTACTCGATCACCGAGAATAGGAAATTTCTTCGGAATGGCGATAATTAACCCCTCTATAACGTCATATTACTTAGAAGGTACTTTCATAATCTGTATTTTTGAATATTCCTTATTTTATTTATTGATTAAAGTAAAATTATGTAATGTGAAATTTGGTATAAATTGTACTATTAAAAAAAAAAAAAAAAAAAACAGACTTACAGTAGAGCAGTGTATACTCTCTCTTTCTCGGATAATAATTAGGTTATAAAATATCATTAAAGGAAATATATTCGTTTAAATGGTATTCTTCATTGGATTAGCTTATGGTAGTGTTGGTGATACGATAACGAGAATCTAAACTCGGCGAGTGAATGAACGACGAGTTGGCTAACGCAAAAGACACTGTTCATGGACGCACGAAAAGCGGTGTCTCATTTGGCGTGGCGTCTCGTCTTCCATGCTTATTTTAGAGCCGTTCTATTTCTGCTCGATGGCCTCTCTCTCTCTCTCTCTCTCACTCACTCTCGCATCTCCTTTCATTTTCTTTTTCTTCGAAAACGAAAGCGATCTCTCGCAGAGTCGTCGCCAACGTCTCCCACGTTCACAGCTCCGTTTCGTTGATGATAAGGCTTCCCCCTATACCTCCCACTCTTCTTTCCTTCTCTTTCGAAAAGACGTCGGAAAGAAATATGAAAGGAACGGAGAAAACAGGAGAGAAGAGAAGAGGAAGGAAGAAATAAATAAAAATAAAAATAAAGATAAAGATAAGAATAAAGACGAAAAAGATAAAAAGAAAAGAAATAAAATAAAATAAAAATTGAGAAGACCGAACCGTCGTGTGGTTAGAGAAGAAGTCGGTTAGGTTGACGTGCACGAGTTAAGAAAAATGGCGAATTACTCGAACGAATTCGGGACGAGGTTGAACCATTCTCGGCGAGGGTGGTTGAAATAAAAGTTTTGGACACCGGCCAGATTTCTCTTTCTCTCTCTTTCTCTCTTTGCCTTACCAACTCCCTCCTCAATCCCTCAAGCCCAGCCCTCAATCCTTTTTTTCTCTACGGACTCGTTTTCTTCTTCTTTTCCCCTTTTCTTCTATTTTCTTCCTCTCTTCGACAGCACCAGCAACAGCATTAGCAGCACCAGCACCAACAGCAGCAGCAGCAGCAGCAGCAGCAGTACCAGCAATGGCAGGCCTCATGCCAAGAGTAGCTTCATGGAATAGGCGCACAGGATCCCTAATTTACTCGTAAAACGACTATATCGTCGATTTTGACGGAAGTTTGATCGCGCTGACGAGGCTTCCCCACCGTCCCCTCCATCTCTGCCTCACCCAAAGAGAACGTCTTTGGCAGACGATCGGATTAAATTTGGCATGGCGCTTCAACGTACTTAACCAACAAGGGAATATTTCAATTTGATTTTCGACGAATTTGGAATGGTTTATTCGAAAAGCTGTCACTTTAATGTACGTATACGTATATACGTGTATGTATTCTCATTTTTCTTTTCTGTCCGTCTAAACTCAAAAATCGATGCTAATCGCTAGAGAATGGAACAGGTGTAGAGTGCACCACAGGACCCTCTAAATTTCGGGACTAGTCAAATATTATTATCGAAATTTGAAAAAAAAAAAAAAAAAAAAAAAAAGAAAAGGAAAAAGAAATAGAAAACGTTCTTCAAAATTTGCGGCATGGGAAAGATTGAGGGGAATCTGGGGGAGAGACGAGCGTCTCTTCTATAAAAGGGAAGAACGCGGAATATGAAACGAAGAAGAGAAAAAGTCCTTGCTTCAGTTTGAGCAACGTCGTAAAGATACAATAGAAGGCGTGCGCAGCTGTGCAGAGATGTCTTTGAGAACAGGCCACCGTGGCTGACGGAGATCGTCTTTTTCTCTCTCTCTCTCTTCATCATTCCATCTCTCTCTCACTCTCTCTTTCGCTCTCTCAACTCCCGCCTCGAAGATGTTACGAGGTCGGTTGAGAAGGGACGAGAAAAAAAGAAAAAAGAAGAAATGGGGCGGGCGGGGGAGGAGGGGAGGAGAAAGAGGAAGAAAGAAAAAAAGAAACAGAGAGAAACAGTAGATCCCGTATGGTCGACACGTGACGAATTCCTTCGTTGCTATATAAGATCTAATTTCTTACATTTTATCTCTTCTCTTTCACTCTTTAGCGGTATTTCGAAGTAAAACAAAAAAGAAAACAAAACAAAAAAAAAAAAAAAAAAAAAAAAAAGAAAGAATGGCTTGCACGAAACGTGGCCAATGAAGAGACCCATGTGACGACGACGCATCGTCACCATTCGTCCTTGTCTTCATCGTTGACGTTATGTTATCACGATCAGTTGGTCGGACGTCGACGACGGATGACGACGAGGAGGATGAGGAAGAATAGGAGGAGGTCGGGTTAACGCTTTAAATTGCGATAAAAATTCCTATTACGAGAACATAAACGAGAATGCGTTGTTGCGAGGATGAAAAG